TGATTGGGCTATGTTGAATTAATGTTGCAGTTGAATTGGTTGAAATTTATGAAGGATATACGTTGGTGCAACAACAGAATCCTCTTCTGTTGTACTAGTAATGAGATATCCCACTGATTTCTTCTTTTAAAAAAAAAGAAAAGAAAAACACACACACACACACATATGGATGCAGAATTATCAAGTAATTATTCCCATTATCCCACCTCATCCGAAGAAGAGCGCAACAACTGAACAGTTGAAGACAGTACAGATCGAAGTGCACTAAAACGTACAGTTTTTCCATCAACTAGGTGTCTCTCTTACGTTAACCTAAAAAGACTTTTGTTTTCTTTCGAACAATTAATTCCACTCCTATATACTACTAGTACTAACTAACTAGTACTTGAATAGTGTTTGATGTCAACGCCCATATGCAGCATTCTGTCCAAAACCGAAAGAGCTTTTTTTTTTCTAGCATCATCATCACTAGGACGGTGCATAGAATCTAATTTAAACATCCTCATTTGGAACCAGCTGCCAATATGCTTTCTTTTCGTATTCTTCTCCTCCTTTTTTTTCTCCCATAATCATATATAAACTAATCTATTGTCAATCTAACACTTTGATTGACACAATTGATAATCATGTATATATCCTTACGAGCAAGCAATTGTATATGTTTATCCTTAACAACAATCAATTACGGGAAGATATTTATAATTGACAAGATAGTGGAAATTTTCTTTGTCTAAGATTGTTACATAAGGTACAGGTGTTGTACAACTTAGTCTCATATCTATGTACGTGTCTTGTTGAGCTTAACACATTACTCTCTTCTAGTCAATCGAAAAAAAAAAAAAAAATCGTTTAGAGATAATATGATCAATCTCGTTGTAAGATTTTTCGCTACAATTTTTATCGGAATGTAAAAAAATGGAGATTGATTTTTCTACTAATGCCACTCCCCGTAATCATTTTATTGGGTTTTTTTTCCCTTATATAAGTAAGAGTTTAATCTTGCCAACCAATTATAATAACTTCACGTACTTTGATCGACCCTTCTTGCAAAAGCAAATCTGTTGATAAGAGGAAAAAATAAAATAAAATGAAGTGCATTTCTCTCAACCAAAAAGTTCTTAAAAGATACTCACATGGGTGTTAAGGGGCAACCCATTTTCTTATTCACCCCATAACTCATCAAATACAAACATACAATAAGCACACAGGAAAATTGCGGCCCAAATCATTGGTAAGATGTATTTTTATCCATGAGAGATGGGACAATGGATTATATAGCTCCTTCCCGAGAAAGACGTACTATATTTGTCAAGGCTTTTACACCCATATTTCTTTTCAGAATTTGATAATTTCACCTGGTTACATGATTGATTTGAAATAAACAATATAGTGTGTATATATTAACAAATATTTAGTCTAAGTGGCAACAATATTAGATCAATTATCCATAATTCAGATTCAAACATCGGCATGTACATCAAAAATGATAAAAATGTCTGTGACGGAACTCTCTATCCAAAATAAACTCATTCGATTTGAATTTAGATTAATTAGAACAGTGTCTCACTCGGTAATATTACAAAAATATATGAAAAAAAAATAGCGTTCCCCTCTGATCATCGATCCCACACAACAAACAAAAAAAAAAAAAAAAGAAAAGGAAACAAGTGGGAAAAGCCTTATTTGATTGGTCTAGATTCATGAACCTCGTTTTCTAGAATTGATTTATATATAGCCATAAATAACACAATCATGTAGGCATATGACCTTATAAGGGGATTCCATCAGGGATGGAGATTGGAGAAAATTCGCTGCGGCCTGCTTTATTTAGCTCTCCTCTTAATCGCTAAAAATAATTGCATTAGCCGAAGCAAATGATTGAAAATGATTGATTTCCGACTAAATCCCGCCAAAGAAAATTCTTCAGAAATTTTTTTAAAAAAAAAACTGGAAATGGTTAGCAGATTTTGTAGTGAAATGTAGAACGATTAATCACATGGAATGCTGGTTTTGAGCCGCATAACAATAAAAAAATAAAATAGAAAATCAAATGACAATCATGCAGTTAAACGAATTTAGCAAGAAATTTTCTTGTCACGTTGCGTTACGGACAATATTAACCATGGATGGCACATTCAAGAACAGCATTATTGATCCCCCACAATCTCAATATCTACACCAAGATCTTCATTTGTTTAAAGAAAAAAAAAAAAGAAAAAGAAAGAACCTTACTCTCGGATGATTTGTACTATATAAATAAGATCACATTCGTCACAGTACTGATCATAGATCTAATACATGCAAATACATTTTGGCCTTCTGTGGAATTTTTCATTTATATTTGTTAAAAGGTCGATGCCAGTCGTTTATTGTTTCAACAATGATTTATGATACTCAAAATATCACCCTTTTTTTTTAATAAACCGCTAATATAATATCGTTCAAATTTCTAACCTGTTTCCATTTTCATTGTAAGTAAAAAAAAAAAAATGGCCCTTCTATAACTTAGGTAAAAATTTAATCTTGGAAGGTTTCAATATGCCTGTCTATACAGAAGAGGTTATAAAATGATGCGAGAACTTGCAATCTCTAACCATAAAAGATTTTGAAGCAATCTTAAAGACCCACTTCTTGCCAGGAGAAGAGAAGCAGGATTTGTCAGAAGTTGGGAACAAATTATGGAAGTAAACCAAACAAAGATTCGGTCTTTAACTGCTACTATTCTCTCCACTCATTAATAATTCTAATGAAAGACTTTGATAATATATAAAACATGCAAGAGAAAGAGAGAGGATGGTACATGAAATAATTGAAGGCAACCGAATTGGGATCACATTTCTGTGTCTTATACAATTTCTCGTATTTTGAGTGTCAAACATTGTTTTTCCCATTGCGTTTCGACAATTTTCATTTTTGATGCTTCTCCAAGACAAACGTAATATGTCTCAAGGATTACCATTTCTGATCACGAAGTTGTTATATTTCATGTTGAGTTTACTTCGGATTTACATATCATAGTTTCGTATTGTCCCAAGTTAACAGGGGGGTAGAAGCCATGTTATGAGTCCGGATAGCACGGGAGACTTTGGCAAAAACGCTCTCCGTTTTGTTTTGTTTTTTTAATACAGAGAATGAGACTATATGCCTAAGAAAGGGTTACATTCCTGGGGTATGATACCCTACTTGATCATACCAAAGCCATGGCTGAACTTTCAGCGGTGGCTCCTGTAATCTACAGACTCCCAAAAAGGTTGGCTTCTTCAATCCAACTAAACAATCAGCCGAGCAATTGACTGAACTTCCGTTTTGTTTTGTTCCTAATATTAAAAACCCAACCAGCACATGGCTGGAAGATGCAACTTCTAACATCATTCACCAACTTCAAAAAACTCCTTCAATCTTGGCCCCTAATTCATACTCTTTCATCCTCAACTTTTTTTTTTAATGTCCTTAGAAAAACTAAAATATGAGTACTTTACTTACAGCTTTCGTTTTCCATTGGATTTTGTATCAAGGCCCCATCTGAATAATATGGGTTTCTTTTGAAAACGATCTTAAGTCCTAACCAATGTAGATCATGATTCTATATGCACTTATTATGTTGATCATGCTCTACCCATAATTAAGTAGGTGGAACTCCGGGACAATAATATTGATCGTCCGAAATGGGATGTTTACATTCTTGATTCTGAAGTCGACACTCGGCATCAAAATTGAATGCCAAAGTGACCGTGGTTCAATTCTCGCAAGTCGCAATATTTTACATATCGATAAAGTAGCATTGATCCTTATTATACATACATAAATTTCCCCCCCCCCCCCAAACGGTCTCGGCGCTAATGCCATATATGGAGTAATGATGTTGGTGAAATACGGCACTACGGTTTCCTTTTTTATTAGGCAAATGATAATGTTTTATACGCAGCAAAGCAGAAAAGATCATGGCATCTGTACATTTAACCTGACACCAATCACAAGGGACCGTTAAAAGAATACTATCTTCGTTCTCTTTCAAAATCAGCGATCTAACTTCACAATCGTCTTAAGATTTGAATCTCACAAACTAAACATATCGCTCATCAAGGAGGAACCATCACTGCCATATCAAACAGGAAAATTTCAGATTCTCCTAACCTCCCCAAACAAACAGGGGAAAAAAAAAGAGAGAGGAAAAATCGGATCCAATCTGTGTTAAAACGCCAAATGCAACTACCCAGTCTCCATTCCAGAAAAAACATTATTCGACGAATATATTATGGAATGGAGCCCTTTCTCCATGATTAGTTGCAGGTGAAAATATATAAATAATGAAATTCATTGATAGTTTTTTCACTAAGTGGTGATCAAAACTTGGTCAAAACAATGTAACTTAAATAGAAATAAAAAGCGGACCTCTCTTTGAAAAGATTGCAGTAGATTGAGCAAAAACATGATTAAGCCAGTAGTTACTAACCAGCAATTCCTTTTTTTTCAACTTGACAGTATGAAGAGAATGGCGAAACTTCAAAAAGTACTCTTTCCATTGCATATTCAGCAAGCATTACATAAAAACTGGAACAAATAAGCTAACAGAAAGGGTAACTTACACTGAATAAAAGTTATAAGTGACATACTTTACACACGAAAGCATTTGCCTCAAAAATTCAATGTTATAGTTTATATATAGTCGATATTACCTGATAATTAAGGTAGTTTGTTTGAAATTTGCTTGCCTTCAAGATATGAGCTGCTTCATGACCTATGAAGCTCCAGAGACCTGTAACTGTAACTATCAATAAGACGGTACACATCTTTCCAAAAACAACTACAACGGGTAAACCAGAAATAAAGATAATAATATTCGGAAAATGATTCCTACATCAATTGGAACAATTGGTACCACACTACCACTAGCACACATCTATGAATTCAGAGGGTACAAAGAATACACGGTACAAAAGCATAGATTTGATGAGCTTTGACTGCAATCACTATCTGCTTCTGTCTTTCCTTTTCTTTGACTAAACTTCCACCGGCACTTTTCCACCATCAGTTGCAACTTTATCCACTGCATAAACTTCACCCGTTTCTTTGATTGCTTTTCTTTTCTTAGTGTTACTGTGACATCAGGTAGCATATACCGAACAACAATGTGTCAATAACAAACATAAGAAGAATCAGTTAGTTGAAAAAACCAAATGACACGTTCCTTCAGGTATACTTTAATCAGATGTAAAGAATTTTAGTCCAAACCTTTTGGATTGTGACAGTTCTTCAACATGTTTTTCCAACCATTTGACACATCCAGTATGAGCAGGAAGCAGCGATCCAGATATGTGAATTATCTCTTCATCAAAACTGTAGAAGAAGCCCCATGCAGTTAAAACTAACTAAATCAAACGAATAATCATTGAATTACAGTCTCAGACAAATGGCTGTGACTTAATTTTTTATTCCTGTAAAAATGATTTATGGTGATTTACATGTTCAGGGTTCTATATTATACCCTCACTAACACTACTTCCTTAAAGAGCTACCAAAAGATACATGCCTATTCGGCTAGCTGAAAAAGGAAGATTGGAAAGGCTCTCTTTTGATAAATAATATGCAGATTCCCCAACCCACCATTGATTTCCATCCTCAAAACAGTCTATACAAACAAATTTTTACCATACAGCAATACCAAGTACCAACAAAAGTAAGAACTAAGTTCTACCGACACCTGATTCACTGATGAACCATCATCAAGCGTTCAGACATTAACTGAACCATATACAATCCAACAACTTCAAATCCTGTATATATGTAGAAACACATCCCGACATTCATTCCCCATCCCTCCACTAAGAACTAAATATTTTAGGGAACGATAAGTTTCCGGATTATGAGACTCTACAGCATTTATATGCAGGCTGAACCTTTACAGGAAAATAACATGCCAGTCCAAAAGGATAAAAAGATCAAAGCACTTCATCTTTTAACTACAAAGCGCATAATAGTTCCAACTTTATTTCTGTGTTTCCGATGAACAGTGCTTTTAAAAACATCCTTGCCGTGTTTCTGCACAGAACAATTTAATGTACTGAATTAAAAAAAAATGGCCCATGAATAATGAAACAAGTATATCCTAAAATATTTAATTGGTTCCAGCGCTCAAAGCTTTATACCAAAATTCTTCGCGAATGTCTGAATCCATTATAATAGCTGACGAGAAACCAAGAACAATAAGATGGATAGATGATTCAGTGACTTTTACTACTTCTCCCTCTACAACATAGAAACAACACAAACTAATTAATCAGCGATTCATTTTAGGCAAAAAATTACCCAACTGCCATATGATACCACACAAAGTAATATTTGACCACATCGAGAGAAAACAGAACAATGCTTATGATTACAAACGTAATTCATATTTTTCCAACTAGAAACAGAAGCACAATTCATGTTCTTCCGGAAAAAAAAAAAAAAAAAAAACAGATTACCTACGAGCATATCTGGTTTTGGATGAAAAAGTAACAGTTCTGACTGTATACTCACCCCCAGATAAGGATGTAAACCGGGCAAAATCATCGCTAAATAGCTTTGCACATTTGGCTCATAAGCCAGTACAACTCCATCAAAGGTTTCACTGAACCTGATACAAAAATTAAAAAGACAGGAATTCATCAATAACGAACTAGACTTCAAATCACCCTCTCAAAAGTGCAAGAACATCACTAATCCTCCATGAAAAAACAACTAATAAACATAAAAAGAATTCTTCAAACAATAAAAGTGACACACTTGAAGAGTAAAGAGTTGAGTTCAACCAAAATTGCATCGGAAATAATTTTGGACTTGGATGGGTGTATGTAGACCAGAAAATTCGCCGGCCCCGGCTTCAATCCCTCCATTGACTCAACCCTAAAGCAGCAAGCAAGCTCCGCCGTATTCTGTTGTTTGCCGAAGTTTCCTCCGCCGTAATTTAGGGCTTTGGAAGGGTTTTGAACGAAGGAGAGAAGATCAGAAGGCAGAATTCTGGGCTTAAGAGATGAAACTTGCCCACTGTACATATTGGGCCTGTTTTACCCAAATGTTCAGAATAATTGGATAAACAAACATGGGCCTAAAAGGTAGCAATCCCACAAATTTCTATTTACATTTAAAATTTATATTCGATCATCTCAAATGTAAAACAATTTTCTAACAGAAATGATAATTGGCTTTTTCCCTCTCTTTTTTTCCAAAGCACCAAATTAGCAAGTGATTAGTTTCCAAAAAATTTTAGCAAGTGATTTAGTTTCCAGTGATTTAGCACCCTTAAGATCAAAAATAAGAAAAGAAAACACGATCTTACATATTTTTGAAAAAGTTTTGACAAACTTGACAAAAATAAAAGTTAGAGAAAACTTGTAGCAAGTAATCAAATCATATACATCTATACATTTACCCATTTCATATTTGGATTTTTTTAAAAAAAAAAAAATTAACTAACAAATTTCTGATAATCTCTTCTTAAAAAACTTCCATTAAGTAATCATCCCACCTTACAACATTTGAGTAGAGTTTATTCTATTGGCCACCAACATCAACATTTGAGTACAACAGCGAAAATTCATTGAGAATGACAATATTGAAAGGTATGCTCTTTCTCTTTTGTCCAAAATTGATTAGTCCTAGCATCCTTATAAATAGATCCATTGAAATAAACGATAAAATTTTTTTGATTATTTAACTGAACAATCATGTATATAATGAAACAGTTTTTGGTGGCTTAAATTCAAACAAAATTAGTACTCGTATTTGTGATTCATGATAAATTTGAGTAGTGACTTGAGTGATCTAATTTTGAATAGTTAAAAAAAAAATTGGAATAAAATTGGGGTAATTGATTGGATATATACTTATATTTCACTATCTTTACTTTCTTCACGGTCCCGTAACACAAAATAAACAAATAAATGAAAAATTTTACCTCTTACTGGAGATAGAAGATTGAAGAAGATGAAAAATGAAATGAAAAGTGCAATTCATTTGGGGACAAAGTGGAGGGTCTCCACAGATCAAAACTTTGGGTTCTTTTTAGTGATCAGAGGAAACAATGACCAGATGTCTCCTTCCATCCCTACACACTTTACTGTTGTTATGTTCCCCCTTCTCAGCACGCCCCAATTCCTTCGGGTTCACCTTCGTCTTGGCTATTTTCTTTATCAAACCCCACTGGACCCATTTCCTTCTCTTATCATTTTTCTCTCGTCCTCTTCCCAAAATTATAAGCCCACTTCACTCTATTAATTATTGCTTACTCGTCCTTAAATAATTAATCCTTATTCGTCCATCTTATAATGATTGTCATGTTATTTTATTCATTAAAATTTTGATTAAATTTTCATCGCCTTGTTTTCCATAATCATCGTCTTAATCATTCTACTGTTTCATAAAAAGCTCATGCAAACATTTTGACCCCAACTTATCATGCAAAAGCGGTGCCCTTCCTCTGATGATAGAATTTTCCATGATTGCATTTGCACCACTTACTACACGCTATCATGCCTGTGAATAATTATTTCTTGATAATGCTTGGATTTTTCATGCAACTAAATTTTAAGCCCATCCATTTGGAGTCCTCGAGCTATGTTTGTACGTGATTAATTACAATGAAAATGACTTCGTCATTACAAGTTTATTAAATATCCATCACTAATTTGCAGTACTACTTATGAGTTTAATAATGGATAATTATATAGTACACAATCCAAATTAATTCCTTTGACTAAACTTTTTGCTCTTTGATGTATGCGTAACATCAATATAATTCCCTTCGCGTACAATTGTCTTGGTTCCTAATTGAAGTATTGTTCAAGTTTCTTACTGTGTAAATTATTAGACTTCGGAAGAAGAAATTAATCAATAGTACTAAGATTGGAACCAAGTGAGCTTAGTCCAGTCGTAAATTTTGGCTTTCTCTCGTAAGGACCAAAAAACAAAAAGATCGAAAAAAGCCATCCTTTTCATTGGTAAGTATAGTTGTATTTCAGAATGATATGCGCGCAATTATTCATTTACTAATAATTAAGTAGTGGAGAAAGTCATAGATTTGGAGCATAATTATGCTAATGCACCCGTAATTCAACGGTGCAAATTAATAGGATTGACCAACAAAAAAGTTAAAATGATGAGGAGTAAATCCAAAAACTTTATAATGATAGATTTAAAAAGATCTCTCTTTGATAATTGAGATATGACCATCCAGCTATATATCTCCACCATTTTTTCTTCCTTTTTCGTGAACTTTTGGTGCATGACTTGCTTTTTATGATTCCATTTGGAAATGACTTATTTAATTTCCAAAATATATACCACTACGTTAAAAAAAAAAAATAATAATAAAAAACAGGCCAACAAGAAATTCCTCGCGTCCAAAACTACAACAAAATAAAATGAGATTTTTCATGGCATTCTTTTTATAGATAAGTAATCCTTAATTGAAACATAATAATTTGCATGTGTAGATAAAAAATATATAGATAAAATACGGTAAATATAATATACAAATTAAGTGATACGAATCGTTATCCTTATAAGAACTATAAGAAAGTTGTTACAAATTGTTAGTTTTGGTAAGAAAATCAACACGAGAATAGAGTCTAATTTAGTAGTAAAATTTTACAGCGATCATCATAATGTTAAATGGGATAATGATGTTTGGACCACTCCACTAACAAAATTGACATGTAGGCTATACACTGACCTGATGTAATATCAGGACTCCAATGTTTGTTTGTTTAATAAATATATGTTGAATTTGTCCAGGTCTCAGAATTTGGTGATTGATGCTTCCATGATAGAAGACGACACCCATAATATATACAAACTCGATAGCGTAGAGATGATGATGATGCAGTTTCATCGTTTTCTTCCGATGTTAGTACTATAATAAAGTTACTAACTTATACTGTCCAATTTTTATTTTATTTTAGTTTATTTTTTTGCGAGAACAATCGATTTGAAATAGATAAAATGTTCAATTGTTCATTCACATAAAATAATCAAAATGATTTCCTCGATTTGAAAGGGAGGAGAATAGCAAAATTGATGTGCTATGCAAGGATGAAAAATAAAAACTAGATCTCGATATGCTATTCACCATATTTTAAACCCCCCTAAGCTTCACCTGTGAAGAGGTAATAATAACTAGTATATTCTCAAGTCAAATTTTATAGGATTCCACTAAACGATATTAAATAAAACGGTTCACGAGTAAATATTTTTGTATTCTGAAAATGGCAACGATTTCAAGTAGATCCAACACAAATGTGATTATAAATTAAGACACGTCGTATCTCTCTCAAGACGAATGATATTTGAAGTATATCAACACGAATGTAACATCTCTATCGGCTTGGCTCCTTTTATTTATTTGTGTCAATGTACATATGATTATCCAAAAATTACACTTCCCAAATTATTATGTAATTAAGTTCCCAATACAAGAGTATTTTTTCAAAGACTACAAGTTCGTGTAATTGTTTAAAAAAAAAAAAAAAACTGTGAACATCACTTCTTTCGTCCCAAAATAAAAGTACGAGCATTTGTTTTGTTTGGAGAGAGTAGAGAATAGTGGTGGGTGCATGGGTGACACGTGAGAGGAGTGAGATCAACGGCGTCGGGACTAAGGAGTAAGGGGAGGAGCCGAGGACGAAGATCGGGAATTGAGGAAGAAAAGTGGCTGGGATTGCGGCCGAGGTTCATAAGTTCCAATGGAGGAATTTCGATTACTGTGCTGTTGCTGGCCTAAGAATATTTAGCCCCTGCCCCGGTTACTACACCGCCTTGACCGTTGGATCCGGGTTTTGAGAGCATCCACACGGGTGCATGCGCGACGCCCTGTGGTCCCACCCTTTCCTCCCACGTGGGTCCAGTCGGGATTTGTGCCCGGTTTCGATTACTGGAATTTCCCGCTGATTTTCATTCTTACAAAATTAGGGAAAACCACATATATTGTAAGACGTACAAAATTGAACTAGAAAATTAAAATTTAAACTGAATTACGGAAAAAAAACGGCAATAATTCACACACTTATAATTTGTGTAATAAATTAATTCGAATAGGGAGGATAGTAACTCAGTTTTACTCTTGACTCTTCATACATGACTCTAAACTTTTCTAAAAAGTAAATAGGTCCCCCCCCCCCCCTGAATAGAAGGTGAATAACTTGTTGAAATATGCTTTAGATTCAATTTGTGTATTCATCGACTTGTGTTGGACAGTCTGTAGTAGTTTTCTATTTGAAACGTTCTTTACGTGCCAAAATTATTAACAATTTGAATTTTTATTTTTAATTTAAAATTAGATCAAAAATAAAATTTAAATTATACAATAATTGTAAGACAAAAAAGAAGTATAATATTTTAAACGTCTCGAAATAACTGTCTAATTTGAATTTTTATTAACCGAATAATGATTTTAGAATAGAAAGAATAGGATATAAACTCGTAATATAATCATTTAGTTCCCATTGATTAAAATCATGTCTTCTTCAATCAGATCTGAACTTTCAGATCTGAAAGTTTTTTCTTTTTTTTTCTTTTTTTTTTTCTTCTTTTTCTTTTTCTTGGTTTATATTTAGATCTCTCCTTTGGTGATCTGATTGGTATATTTGGTGTATCTTCTCGCTCACAGATCCGATTAAATGGAGAAAGCTTTCCGACGAATATTTCGGCGGATTTCCCGCATATTGGTAGAAGATGAACAAGAAGATAATTGATAGATTTGTTGTTGATCTAATATTGTAGGCCTTCAAGATCTGACGATTGATTCCAGATCGGCAGTGCAAGTTAGATCCTCAAAAGATCTGTATTAAATGGTTCATCTTGTATTGTAGCCTTTGAATTGTTTTTCCCTTTAATTGGTGAAGTTAGTTAGATCTAAAACTCCTCATGGAATAGAGATATTATTCTCTTCTGTCATGGCTTGATTTAGCTATTCTTCATATACTTCTTGTACAATTTGTGTATTTTGCTCTCTCTCTTTTAATAAAATTGAATATCAATTTTGACCAAAAAAAAAATA